AGAAGAGCAGGTGGATTTGGTTATAGATGAAATCGAACTTTTGGGTGAGGTTAAACCCTAGCTTCGACTCTAACTACTGAACGACGCCACCACCGATAACGCAGATCGGCTACCCTCACCTGTTTTCTACTTACCGTCGACGGCGCTGGTTCTAGGGTCACCATGGACTGTGGCGATTGTCCTGAAAACCTCAGCCTCATCGTACCGTTTCAAAACACGAATGTAAAGAGGCTTAGTCGACGGCGGTGGTTCTAGGGTCACCATGGACTGTGGCGATTGTCCTGAAAACCTCAGCCTCACCGTACCGTTTCAAAACACGAATGTAAAGAGGCTTAACGATGTTGGGTAAGCTCTTACCCTTTTGATATTTAAAGCGTACATTCACGGTAGGGTCTGTTTTGTAGCTCACCAGTTTGGGTCTTCTATATGGTTCACAATGATGAAGCTTTGGGTCTTCAATGGCGTGCCAAAACTAACCATCATTGGATCACTCTATTTTCTACAATAAGAATTTTTCTAAACCGTGGCTCAAATCAAGAGTTCCCAAATTGAGTGTAAAGGATTCTGTGTATTCCAATCCCTTCCATCTTCAATTACATTTCAATATACATCAAATTAACATCATCAGTTATGTTATTAAGGAAAACGACACTTAATTCATCAATTAATGCCACCCAAACCACTATCCTTATCCATTAATCATGATCTCTCTCTCTCTCTCACACACACAAAACATTATTATATACGAGTAAACATTATTAGTTGTTATATATCACATGCCCACCTCATTATTTTTTTTAAAATTTTATTAGAAAATATCGTGAAAAGGAACAACACCACAAAAACAACACTACCTCCATACAAAAATTTGCCCCAATGTTTTTCAGATCTATTGCTTGTATAAATGTGTTTATATATATATATATATATATATATATATATGCGTGTATGCTTAAAATTGGGTTAAGATTCACTATTGCTCCTGTGGTGGTTGGTCCTGCTCTTGGTTTTGATTGCAGTTGTAATGGCGAGATGAACGATGGTTGCAGATGATGGTGGTGATTATGTTGGTGGTTATAGACGGTGGTTGCGGTGGTTATGGTGGTGGTCACAGACGGTGGTGATTGGGATCGCAAGCAGTGGTGAGAATTTCGTTAGGGTTCTATTGATTTGGGGATATATATATAAAGGGTTATGAGGACAATTTGGTATTTTCATATATAGAAGGGCATAATTGTCCAAAAAAATTCAGTTTGTCTGTCGTGTGAGAATCACGCACTCATTTTTGGACGGCATGTTGCCGGATGGAGTGATCTGCAACAAATTTGTATAGTTCAAAGGGTTTTCTGCAATTTTGATAGTATATGGGGTTAGTTGCAAGTTTCCTAACAGTTCAGGTTTTTTTTTTTTTTTTTGCATTTTACCCTAATTTATATCATAATGCTTACTGCTTATTATGTATATGTTACACTATGATGTAATGTGTTACATTAACAATTTACTGTATACAATCAATCCGAGGATGCGATGATTAACGACTTTAAAGTTTTAAATATCTTAGTATCTCTTATGCATTAAACCGTCCGACATCGTCATTGTCAAAATTTTAGAGAAAGAAAACAAGATTTTTAGTGAGAGAATTAAATATATATAGATTAGAATCAACAGATCTATACATGCATTATATATATAACAAATAGATCTTCACGAATTCATTATATATATAATAAATAGATCTTCAATGGTTCAACTGATTGATCTTCACGAATTCATCTTAAAATTAATCCTCATTCAACATTGATTCAAATCTCAAATACAAATAGAGAGAGGGAGGGAAAGAGATAAAAAAATAAATAAGAGAGAGGACTTGCATATGTAGTTGCAGGTATGATTAAGAGTTTTGTAGTTGTCGGTGTGATGTCGAAGTGATTTGCCAGCTTGATACGTCACTAGGTCTTGCATGCCGCATCAATCTTCTTTTATGTTATCTTCTTTTCTCTTGTGTTATATTCTCTTTATGGCTAGGTGTTACGAGGGTCATTTGCCCCACATCGGATATGGATGGAAAAGTAATTGGGTATAAATGGGTAGGTATACAAAACTACCTAACAGCTTGAGCTTTTAAGTAAATGGGCAAACGCCCACCCATTATAGTTGGTATCAGAGCAAGACCTAGTCCTTGATTTGGTTCCAAGCCAAGCGCCCAGCCCGGAAGGCGTTCGGGTGAGTTACCCAGAGTAGGCAGGGTAGCTCGACTGCAAAGGGTCATTTGTCCCACATCGGATCCGGATGGGAAAGTGATTGGGTATAAATAGGTGGGTGTATAGCATTACCCAAGAGTTTGACCTTTTGGGTAAATGAGTAAGCGCACACCCGTTACACTAGGGTAATTCAGAATGAGAAAGAGAAGATTAAGGTTTTACGGTTTATATAGTATACGAGAGTTGGGCGTAGGAAAGTAGTAAGCTTATGTTGTTTTAATTTTAACATAAATGGATTAGGTCTATTTTAATTTTAAGAATGGGTTGTGCTGGGTTGTTTTAGGCTATACCTTTAACTAATTTAAGCCCCAAACTTATTTATATATTAGTATATATAATTAATACTAAACAATTTGATAGTTGACAAGTGTTTAGAGCAATTTTTTAATTATTATTTTATTTCCCAATATATATATATAAATCTATGGGTTTAATTTAGTTAGATCCCTTGTGGTTTGTCGAATCTTCAAGGAGACCCCCCCACATTTGCAAAAATTCAATCAGACCCCCTGTTAGACATTGTCGGCTGATAAAGCCAAATAAATGAGTGGCATGACTAATTTGCCCTTTTTATTGTTATCCCAAATAAGCTTAAGCAAGTACCAAACTCCCACCAGAGGTTACTCTATCTCTTGAACCAAACATTCAGTCAAATTGTTCTTTTCCCTAATTTCAATACCGTATGAGAGCGTACACAGTTGCCTAGTCACCATATCACCACAACGTCGTGCCTTGATGTTCGCCGCACCTACCATCGTGCTTAGTTCCGTTCATTACTCGCTGCCCGTCAGATTTTTTGTTGTTCGCCGTTTAGTACTTACAGTTATTTTTTGTTGCCCGCCGGATTTTTTGTTGCCTTGCTTTTCATCGGCTTCCACCACGTTCCTTGCCGGTAAATCCAGCCACACTGATAATCTGTTCTCACATTCCAAGTGTTGTTATCTGATCTGTCCGCCTCGCCGCCAAGAACTGTTATAATTTTTGAATAAAAATTGTTTCATAAGTAATCAATAGGTGCCTATGTTGAGGATTGGTTAGAAACAGTTAATAAACTGTAAGGATGCATTGGATTATAATACATACGTGAACGGGTGTGTTGGTTGAAAAGGTACAATCGAACAGATATAACCTATTCAATATGAATCATTGCAACCTATTGGAATGGATGCGTCTAGTGGTGAACAGACACCATGCGAACCATTGTAACCTATTGGAGTGGATGTGTTTATTGGTGAACAGACACCATGTGAACCATTGCAACCAATATAAATAGTTATGTCCAGTGTGAAGAGACACATACAAATGGTTGTGTCCAGTGATGAAGAGACACATATAAATGGTTGTCTCCAATGATGAAGGGACATATATGAATGGTTGTGTCCAATGATAAAAAGACACACTTAATCTGAAAAGGCATTTCTATTTCTATAAATACCCCATTGGGCTGCCATTTGTTTTTTGTTCAATTTAATTTTTTCTCTCTCCCTCTCTAGACTTGAACCAACCCAAGTGGATTCAAATCATAGGTCAAGTGGTCCGAGCCACTTGACCCTAATCCAATTTCATCGAACTAAATTAAGATTGGTCCGAACCATTTGGTTCGGATTACATCCAATTTAGCATTTATATAGTATAGATGTATTATTGATTCAGAGAGAGTATTATACGGAGAAGGTTCGCTGTATCCAAGAGTTTGTAGTGCTACTACCGGTGGATGTAGACCGTTGTATCATGGGAGATAGAAGCCACTGAGTCCGTTGCACCATAGCGAGGTGAATCTGTCTTAAGGACATAGTATTCAATACTAGCCTCGGTCCAGGTTATTTATTTATTATTTATTAATTTATTACTTTATTTTGCATATTTAATTAATTATTTCTTAGCATATTGTTAATTATCTTATAGCATATTAGTATAAAGGTTGTTATATCTTAAATGTTACATGAAGCATGTATTTTTCTAATAAGAACAATGCCTCATAATATTTATTTTCTCTTTTGGCTGAAAACACAGTGCTTCACCACACCAGAGAGAATTGTGTAGAGAAAGGGAGATAGAAAAATAGAGAGAGTAGAAGGGTGGAAGAATTAGGAGAAAAATCTTCTGGAACGAATTCACAATCGTTGAATTAGTCTTCGCCTCCAATTCTTCCGTTGCCGAAATCTCATGCCGAGCAGTAGAGCCATTAGCGCCTCCAGCAAGAGAAGTCATAATGAGCAAATTGCGCTCGTGCCCACAGAGGATCTGATCTGATCTGATCCACCCATCTAAACCAGAGCCATTGAGAATCGTTTGTTCTTGGCACTGAAAGGGGTAGAGCATGGGGATTGGGCGCCGTCGTTGGTGAAGAAGATGGATGTGCGTGTGTATGTATATATTATATGGTATAACCCTGTTTGGTTACAAGCATAGTGTTATTTCAAATTTTGTGTAATTCCATATCCAAATTAAATGTGATATAGACAATTTAGCCAAACATGATCATTGGAGGGAAATTTCGGCATTATTGTTTACCTTTTTTATGATGTTAGCAAAAAGTGTCTCTAAACAGCTTTGACCGTTGATCGACGGAGAAGATTGATGTGTGTCAAAAAAATAAAAATTAAGAAATCTGACTAAATTTTTGCAAATGTGAGGGGTCTCTTTGAAGTTTCCACAAACCACATGGGTCTAACGGAATTGAACCCTATATATATATATATAAACGTCCTTTCCTTTCGAGTCTAATTTCTTCCAAACTTATAGCAATAGAATTTCATTTGGGCTCCAATTCAATTCCTTTTCGAAAAGGGATTTAGCACCGTGGGAGTCGTAGATCCTTCTGGAGCTATTCCTATCATTCATGGTCTGAATAGGAAAAATCGAAATTTGACCTACATATCAATTAAATACTCATCATCATTATGATCATACTGGTAGTGGTGGGAACATATACGGAGTCAAAAGCAAGGTACGATAGTTTGATCTGATCTTCTTCGCAGTTTATTTGTTAAATTTTTCCATGCTAAGCGTGTCCTTAAAATTTTGAGTGATTCTCAAAGGTGCATTAACTCTTAAATGTTATGATCGATCATTAACGCATAAAGGTTAGGTCATATTTGCACTTTCCTTTAGATGCTTTATATTTATGGAGGAAGATTGAAGAAAGTGACCCTTTACAGCAAAAGTCAATACTTTTTTTTTTTGTTGTTCTGATGGATGATTTTATATTTTTATTTTATTTATTTATCATGATTGAAATTCTTATTTATAATTTCGAATGGACCGATGCTATGTTTAGGAGCATCAAATGGGCGGTTTGATTTTGAACTAAATTTCTCCAATCTCAAATCTAAAATACAGGTTCGGTGCTCCCAAATGCAACATAAGTACAATGGCTTACTAGCAAAGCTGGCTTCTCTTTTCTTTGTTATTTGTAGCCTTGTAGGTAATTGGATGTGGAAATAGACAGGAATAGAATTCCTGGCATTGATATATTTTTGAATGATGGGGACAAGTGGATGTTTGCAGGCCACGAGGTGCTTGTAATCGAAACTCCCGGTCATACCCGAGATTGTATTTCAGTAACTCAGCCATTAGAGAATTATCTCATGTTGTTGGCTCTGGAGTTCAATAGATGAAGATAAATCATATATTTCTAAACCAGTTTCTGCAAGTTTGATATCACTTTACCTTCTTCCTTGTGACTGTGCATTTTAGATTTCAGTTTTGGTCTATTTGCTTATGTTTGTAATGAATCATCTTATTTAATTTTGTTATTCCTCCCTCGTTGGAGTTCTGCCCCTATCAGTTAGGTGTGGTCTTCTTTGCACTTATTCTTTCAGATATCATGGTTCAGTTATAGCTTCATGGGTGAGTTTTTGTCCTTTAAAAATGTTGAAATGACTAATGTTACAACTAAGATACATGTAAAGTGAATGAATTAGTGTGGTCGTAAGAATTACAATGTAATTTAAAACTAGTTTTGTTTTGGACTCCACATTTCTGAATATTTTAAGACTTACGAGTGAGGTGATGCTGGAATATAATAAGAGAAGCTGCTTTGGCAAAGTATTAGCACCCTGCGTAGGCTGGACATATGCTGGGTTATGCATTTCTTTGATATATTTTATTTCTAGTTCCATCATTTCAAGGAAATTGACTTTCTTTTTTCTTCATATTGATCTTAATTGCGAGCAGGTCACATTAACTTCTACTTTCTGGGATCAAGGGCAATTTTTACTGGGGACATTTTGTTCAGCTTATCCCGTGGCAAGCTTTTCGAAGGAACTCCTGACCAGGTAGATTTTTTCTTCAGTTTTGTTTTAGGTCATGTCCCTGTTATGAGCTTAGGAAAACTTTTCTTATCTTATCTTATTTATTTTATTTATGTTTGTGTTGACTTCCATCTTATAAATTAGTTATCTCTCTGGTCTTAATATATATATATATATCTCAACCTCTCTGTGTACTTGCTTGTGTTCTTAGAAGAGCAGTCAAAGTAGTGGTCAATGTGTTTCTTGTATGTATAATTAAAAGGTTGCTGAGTGATGTGATCGTGTGTGAGGGGCCATTTGTTCAACTCTACAAAGTTTTCCAATGTCAAGATTGTGGTGAAATTATATTTCGTTAAATCTGTCCTTCTTGGTTGATCTCATACATGTGACGTAGGGACCTACCCATTTTTTTTTTTTTTTTCCGTTAAAGGGTAAGCTCCTATGGACCTTTCCTTGTTTCCTTGTTTATGCCGTGGACACTTCTCCACCCAATTTTGTTTAATCCTCCATAAATCCGACATTGGGGCTTTGGAGAATTAAGTTGTGTGTTACATTTCTGGCTAGTTTTGTGGTTACATTTCTTGAACCAAGCTATTTGATATGGATTTGGATGTAGATGCACCTCTAGTTTCAGCTTTGGAACCAATTAGAAACTAAATTCTCACAGCTGCTTCCATCAATAATGAGATTGCAAAGTCGTCCGTGAGATTTACATCTAGTTCTGAAAATGTTGTTTCGCCTCCAATCACCTTCCAGTTCTTTTGGTGTCTACTTAGCTTGATGTACTACCAGACTTGGAAGATCTCTATCTTCAAGTGTGACTTCATTTTCTTCAAAATCCCGCAGAACTTCATTATCTTGTGCTTCATCAAATTGATCCTCTGTATTGTTTGATTCATCTTCGTTTATTAGCAAGTTACTAGCTGCCTTTTGACAATCGGAAGACTTATGACCTTCTTTATCACACTTGTAACATATTATCTTGCTTCCCATGGACTGAAATGATATGCTACTACTCCCAGTAGCAGAATTTGCTGGTCCATATCTCTGGCCTCAACCACGTCCATAGGCAACAGGCGCTGTATTATTATTCCGCAAGCTGCTCCAGCCTTCCGAGTGATGGTTTCTTGACCAAGTTCAGCTTCCAATTGCAATCTTCCCCTTCTGAACTGATTTGAATGATTGTTGAACTGATTTTGCTGTGTTTCAACCTTCATGGCCAATTGGACAGAACTTGCTGAGGTCCAACAAAGTTGTAACTCCACATGGTTTCCTATACCTGGCCTTAACCCCATCAAATGACGATGGATGACTTGTGTTTCTCTTTCAACCAACTTTACTCAGGTTCTCATCTTATAGAACTCATTTGTGTATTCCTGAACTGAGCGAGCTTCTTGATGAAGGGATTGGTTATGCTGAAATAGAATTCCTTCGTAGTTTAATGGAAAAAATTGGCTCCAGATCATCCTTTGCATCTTTGTCCAGGTTTGAAGAACTTGCTGCCACCAAGAAGATGAATATCTCTTCATCTTAATGGCTACCAACTTCACCTTCTTATTACCATGATTATCAAGGTACTCAAAAATCCTTTCGTCTTCATTTAACTAATCCCAGACTTCCTTCGTCTGCTCTTCCCCACTTGGAATTTCCACCTTAATGCGTGGATTTTGGTCTCACTCAAAGTTACGATTAAGTAGCAGCTGCCTTGCATATGGTAAAACTCCATCTTCTTCATCTGAAAATTCTTCTGCAACTTGCCGAAATCTTTGAATAGCAGGCTGGTTCCTCCAATTCTCAATTTGCTATACATTCATTTGATGTTCCCTGTCTTCCAATGGACGGATTAGGTGGGAAAATAACTCCAGATTGCTCCAACCTCGTGCACAGCTAATTATTTTGCTGTTGCAGGTTCTCCAAATCTTCTTTTGTAGCCATGTTACCAGCATTTTGTGCTCGAGATGTTTGTACATTCTCCTAGTTGCTCGCTTAGTTGTTTCCTTACCTAGCCATAGATCCGCAAAAAGTCGCAGGTATGGAGGAAAGCCTCTAATACCACTTGAAGCAAACAGAGATGAACACAAAAGTCTTCTTAAAACAGTAAGAAGGACTAGGGTTATTCCAATCACAGTTGGAGCCTAGATTTCTATAGGGAAGTTTGGGAAAAGCCTTAAGAGAATTTTGCAATATGAAAATAACTCAAAATGATATTGATTAAGTCTTGGCTACAGCAGATATGGAGGGCTGTCCCTTTTATAATAAAAGTATTAGTGACACTTCAATTCTCTAGACTGACTCTTAGGCTACCCACAGAGCATGAATAACAGCTTCTACAATTCCCATGACATCTTCAGATTTCCCATACCATAATTAAACCTTGACTAGACACTATTGACTGCATTAATTCTGACTAGACATTAATTCTGACTAGACATTTTTCACGACACAACTAACTGCATCACCTTTTTGACTTGATTTCACAGTTGTGATTCTACAGTTTTTTCAGTGTATTTTATTTATTATATTTTAGCTTATTTTCTTATATCCAGCATAAACTTAAACTGCCCCAAAAATTCTGGCCGTAGAGAAGTGGAGATCATGAGCTTTCCCAATTTGACTCCTGGCTTCGGTTAGTTGAGGTTTGGAACACAGTTCAGCCCATTTATTTTGTTTCTGTCAGGCTCTTATATACATGGTGGCCTAAGGCTCAGTTCAGGTTGAATTGGGCTCATCATGTGTTTCAAGTACTTTGAACAGATCTAACTCAAAGCTGAAGCTTAACAGGTATCTTTTAGATATGACCATGATATTGAACACTAAACAGATCCATGGTGGCTTGATTTAGGCATGTTGAGTGGACAAGTTTCCTTGGGGCTTAGCCATGGTCTGGTGATTTTTGGTTGAGCTCAGATCTAGTTTGGATGAAATGCCACTTAATTTCCTGCAAACTAAGCTGGCCAATTCATTGGATCCCTAACTAGTCTATGAATGAGAAGGGATCATATTGACAGATAAAGTTTTTTACTTGATTTTTGTCAGTCTATTGGGTTCTTCATTGGCTGCGCCAAAGTCATGTAAAAAGTAATCAATCGGACGTTGTGAAACAAAAAGAGTCATATTCACAACAAATACATTCCTAAAAATTAAAGAAAGAAAATGGAACATGCATGCATGATTTATTTTGAATGAATTTTTCTCTCTCTTTCATGTCTATCCAATCCCACACTAACAAAGTGTGCCATGTTAAAGCTTTAATTACCAACCTTTATGGTTTTTCCTAAACAATACCGGCCAATAAGCAAAACTAAGTTGCAATCTCATTGATAACACTTTTGTATCCTAGATCAAGTGAATAGTATTTCAGAGATGGTATATTGTTTTCATTGCTTAATTGTGTGTACTGACTGGTGTTTATTATCAACACAGGGTATTCTGCGTCAACTATAGCTGTGATATATGCATGCAAGTTATGTTATCTAAGGGAGTGATCGATGACACACCAATCTTCGTCTTTGGAAAGCTAAAGCATCTGAACAAATGGGAGTACGTGGTATGTATTTCTTCCTTCCCACAGTACTTTTCATTTCCCATTCTAATGTTCAAATGCAATTTTAAACTATATTATGGGTTAATAGAAAATAAATAGAGTTTAAGAAACAAATACAAAATGCTCAATACCTTATTTATGAAAAAATTACTATCTAGACATAAACCTAAAATTTATGAATTTTAAGGATTTATGTGAATTCATGTTTTTTAAAATTTAAGAATTGTAAAGTTTAAGCAATTTTTATGAAAATTTGAAGAATTGACTTTTCATAGTTTTGAAGAAAACCTAGACTAAAATATGTGAATTTTAGGGTTTTGAAGGCTGTTTGTGGATTTTAGCCTAACCAAAATGTTTTTATTTAATTAAAGGATTGAAAAAAAAAAAAAAATGGTTTTTGAAGGTTTTATAGAAAACCTAGGATTATGAACTAATTTGAGCAACATAACGGCTAGAAGTGATCACTTTGGAACTTTTAAAGTGTGATTACTTGCATTTATGAAAACCATTACCTTGAAGCATATTTGGATAATTTAATTATTTGACATGGGTAATTCTTTTTTCTTTTTCTTTTTCTTTCAGAAGCACAATTTATAGATCAAGAAGGCTGAATACAATCTAGAGATACAATTTAAGTCAGCCAAGGAGGCCATCCATGTCAATGGAGATCTGATTTACATTTTATTCCAAACACAGAACTGGGATTTCATCATCACTGAAATACACCGGTCCAACCAAGATAATCTTCATTCTTTGCCTTTGTAGTTCCCAATTCTATGACAGATTTTCCTTATTCTTCACAAGTAATGGTGGATTTCAGCTCTTGATGAGTACTCATCTCTGTAATTCCCATTTCCGATTTTCCTTGCAACTCTTGGTGGGACATATCTGCAAAATGCTCCTCCCGCCTGAAAGATTTCAGGTCTAGACAAGATAAATAATCTTCATCCTTGCGTCTACAATTTCCAATTCCATGTCAGATTTTCCTTGTTCTTCACAAGTAATGGTGGATTCCAGCTCTTGATGAGTACTCAGGACTATATTTCCCATGTCCGATTTGTCTTGCAGCTCTTGGTTGGATATATTTGCAAAATGCTCCTCCTACTCTTCATGATCACTGAAAGATTTCAGGTCCAGCCAAGATAATAATCTTCATCCTTAGCGTCTGCAATTTTCAATTCCATATCAGATTTTCCTTGTTCTTCACAAGTAATGGTGGATTTCAGCTCTTGATGAGTATTCAGGTATTCTTGCAGCTCTTGGTGGGACATATTTGCAAAATGCTCCTTTTGCTTTTCATGATCACCGAAAGATTTCAGGTCCAACCAAGATAAATCATCCTTCGTGTTTGCAGTTTCCAATTCCATGTCAGATTTTCCTTGTTCTCCACAAGTAATGGTGGAACTTTCTGTAAAATTGCCAGTGCCTTCATACTCCTGCTTCCCTTCTTCCTTGCTTTTCTTACTATTATCCCTTATTCGGCAAAGGACCCATTTTTGGAACTGCAGTCATGGATATGTTTGTGTATATGGTAGACATGAATGAGCGTGATAGATATTACTTTGTAGAAAGAAAGAATAAATCTGCAGTTGGGAATGGTATAACCTCAAAACGGGTAATTGAATGTGGAGGATGGTGGAGGGCCAGCAACAATAAGCTCATTGTAGACAAGCCAGGCAATTGAAGAAGTGAATCAAAACTGACTGGATCATGCATGAGTACAAGCTCAAAGAGAATACGGTAAATTAATCAAGCAAAATCAATTCTATATATATATATGTGTGTGTGTGTGTTCATTTTCTTTATTAAGTTCTTGATATATATATATATATATATATATGTATATATATATATATATATGTATATGTTCATTTTCTTTATTAAGTTCTCGATTAGTATTCCTTTATCTATCAAGTACTTCCAATCACTATAAGTCTTTATGTATTTTCAATAATTATATATATATATATATCTATGCCAATCAATAAATATATATGTTCATGATTAATTTTGATACTTCATTTAGTTTAAAGCTAGACTTGAAATTTAGTTACTTACATACTGTGTTGGCTTCCTTGTTGAAGACTCTCTCTAAGCTACAGATTGAATCCTAAGAAAATGGTTCTGTAGAAGCCGACCTTCGGTTTTGTTAGCTTGTGCTACATGAAGGGGAGTTTTTTTCCCCCTTCCTTTTCTCTTCTCTAGTTATTTACCCTTCTGCTGTTTTGAGCTTCATTGCTCTTTCTGGCTGGGCTTAGTACTATATTTATTATTATAATACTTGAGTTTATTTATGGGAAAAAAGAAAAAACTACACTTAAAATTACTAGAATTTGGAATGGATATATAAAGTGTGCACGGTATGAATGGAATCGAAGGCAGTAAACTCGTGACTACAGGAAGTAAGCATACGGGAAAAAGATGCAAAAATTTGAGATTACACAAAATATTAATATGAATATTCAACAAGGAAAATTTTAATTCTGTGAGGAAGGCTTTCTGATTTTTTTTTGAACAAGCTTGTGAATGTGACTAAGATTTTAAAGTTTGTATTTAACATAAAATATCCTCAATTGAGAGTTGTCCATTCTATATTAACCTTCTTGCATGTTGTCTCTTAATCACTTAATAATGCAAACAGGTAATTTAAAATAATAAAGTTTCCATTTTAACATGGGAATGAATTCCATCTTGCACAAAGGAAGATACTTTCTTCTGAATCTAATTTGAGTTAAACATCAATAAAGTTCTCTTCAAGGACACCTATTCTTCTTTCGCAATTCTAGTATAATATATTTGTTTGTAACGTCATATTTAGATTCTTTACCGGTTTTTGTTACTTGTTAATGTTCTGTCCCTTGTTCCAAGCTGCTATCCTATATTGTTTGATCTTTCTTTTTTGAATATGCTCCTTCCACAACAATCTTCTTTTTCTTTTACGCTTACACATGGCCGTCGTCTAACTCCTCGAGAATCATGTTTTTCACCTTTCTAGTTGGATCTGAACTCTCGTCTTAACGCTTTGAGCCGCTCACTAGAAGAACCTTTCTTCACTTTCACTGTAGGTATGCTCACTTCATCTGGATTGAAATCTTGTTAGGGGACATCATCCATTCCATTCCGTGTTGCATTTGACTTCGTGAAAACGACCAATGACGATGAAGGAAGAGAAAGGACATGGATCATTGATTCTGGTACTTCAGACAATTCGATTTGAATAGGATTATTCCTACTAACCAATAAATTGAGCGTCACTTGTCAATAATGAAGGTGAAAGAAAAATCTTCCATTTTGCGGTCTCATATCTAAGTTGCATCACGAAAGTCTGTTACGTAAGTGAGAAAATCTGTCTTTTATGCTTGGCCGAACCAAGTCCCAGTGCAGTGTTGGTGGGTTAGGGAAGGGTTTGGGTGGGGGGAGGGGTAATAGAAGGGTAGGCAAAAGCCTATGAGAAAAGAGAACTACGGCATGTAATTGATAAAGGGATTGGTTAGTCAGAAAGAAGGGCTGTAGCTAACGGGTCCGGAAGAAAATCTAATAGATTTGAATTCTGAAACTAAGAGATCTTAATCGTAGAAAATGACCTTATGAATGGCTAGACAATATTCCCCTTTTTGGGAAGTAGGAATCCATGGTCCCACCAATGGGGTAAAAAAGTGTTATTTATTTATTTTTTTAAGGGTTTTGTTTCCTCTGCAAAAATTTACTACTAAAGGTAATTTATGGTATGTTTGATTTGTACAACTCAGCTTTACATCTCTTACTTAATATAATTTCAAACATACATATTATACATATTTCAACCTGCATATGTCTCTTCTTCTCTATGTATATATGTCAATGCATTAATTTTTCTTTATCATTTTTATTGAAGTTTATTTATTTTGATTCATCCATTATTAGTTGTTCTGTTTGGGTCTAAGTGCACTTCCAAGAATGGGTTTTGTGTAGAATCCAGGATGGGAGTAAAAGCATAAACAAGAAACATGAAGGCACTGAGAATTTGCAGCTGCAAATTAGTCCCATCAATATTAATAGCTTCAATCAAACAGATCAATACCTTAGTACTTGTGGTTACTTGGAGCCAGGTACTAGCAGTTGGATATAGGTTTGAACCAACAGATGAAGAACTCATTTCTGGTTAATTGAAGAGGAAGCTTAATGGTGAACAAGAACTGCCATCATGCTGTCATTGATATGGACATCTATGCATGTGAACCGTGGTTGCTTTCATGTAAATAATATAGATTAATTGACATTCTAGCTAGCTATATATTTCTCTAAATTCAATTATTGATTAAATATTCTTCTGTAATTTTTCAATATATATATATGTATGTATGTCTTTAATTTATTTATTTTTGATAAGTATATGTATGTCTTTAATTAATTGTCTATATATGAAGCTGATGATCATGGCTACATGGGCAATATGGATAATGATCAGCATAAGTTTGATATATGTTACTTTGTAAATCGACAGAAGAAACCTACTGGAAAGAGATGTGAAATGGAAGTTTGATGTTTATATTGGAAGGCCAGCAGCAGAGACAAATGTATTCGAAACAGCGAATGTCTGAATGTCATCGCTACCTCATAACCTTAACATTTTTCAAGTACAAGAACAAGAATCGGAATTGTCAAGAATGCATCAAAACTGATTGGATCATGCATGAGTAGAGTCTTTCAAGAGAAACGGTATGTACTATATAGCTACTGATTAAGCATAACATATGTATAGTAATCCGGAGTGCTGTTTTTACTACTGTATATATAAACTCTCAATTAATTAATTTGCATGTTCGCTGAGGTTATAGTTAATTTCAGTTATCCTTATGAATCATATGTATATTTTAATAATTACTTGATGAAATTAATATTTTTGTTCATTGAGTATATATTGTAATTGGAAACATTAAGCTTGACATGAAAATAGCTAGCTAGTTGCACACTCTGGGTGTAGTCCGGTCCCTTCGTACTCTATGATGTGCTCTGGTGAAACCAGCCAGTGAAATTCTTGGGCCTATTCTTCCTAATTTCCAGTACTATGTGATTGGCATTTTTTAATTTATCATTGTTCATGAGCTGCACAAGTTAAGATAGACATGAAAACAAATAAAACAACTTGATGTATGTATATATATTCTATTTGCAATTGTTTATGAGGAAAACTTTTTCTCAAAAAAGTTTTTAATGCATATGAGCATTGTCTTGTTAAATCTCAAGCTATAAAAAATAGTTGAATCTTTGACATATATACAAATATATAATATGAGCCATATTCAAAGAGCATTCTCTGACACTCTATCTAAAAAGTCTCTGCTTTTAACTTGAAATTAAAAAAAAAAAGTGATGCAGAATACAAAAGTGCATTCAAATGGATTTACTGGTACACAGGAATAATATCCCTTGCATGAACTCCTGCGTTTTGTCTTTTGAATTGAGCTCTGCTGCTCCTAGCTCCTGCATCAGTTACAAAAGAGGTACATCAAAAAAATGTGTGTTTGTCGTTCATGCATGTTATTGTTTAATGGTGTGTTTGAGTTGTACAAGTTTTACTAATTAATCCTTTTGTTTAGTACATATATACTTGCTTATTATTCTATTCAATTTGTGGTGTTGCTGTAATCATTTTACCATTTGAAATTTACTTCTATACATATTTGATTAATGTTGTGTCCGGGTGGTGACTGCAGTTCCAAAAAAGGGTCTTTTGCCAAATAAGGGATAATAGTAAGAAAGCACAGAAGAAGGAAAGCAGAAGTAGAATGAAGGCACTGACGAAAATTCCCCCATTACTTGTCTAGAATGAGCCTATTGTTGGTGGTCCTCCACCATCCTCCACATTCAACTGCCTGTTTTGAGGTTATACCATTCCCAGCTGCAGATTTGTTCTTTCTTTCTACAAAGTAATATCTATCACGCTCATTCATGACTATCATATCATGATCTGCTACCCAAACATATGCATGACTGCAGTTCCAAAATTGGGTCCTTTGTCGAATAAGAGATAATAGTAAGAAAAGCAAGGAAGAAGGAAAGAAAAAGAATGAAGGCACTGACGATTTTATGGAAAGTTCCACCATTACTGGTGATGAACAAGAAAAATCTGACATGGAATTGGAAACTGCAAACGCGAAGGATGATTTATCTTGGCTGGACCTGAAATCTGTCGGTGATCATGAAGAGCAGGAGGAGCATTTTGAAAATATGTTCCACTAAGAGCTGCAAGAATAGACCCGAGTACTCATCAAGAGCTGAAATCCACAATTAAATGTGGATAACAAGGAAAATCTGATATGGAATTGAAAACCGTAGACGCTAAGGATGAAGACAATTTATCTTGGCTAGACCTGAAATCTTTAAGTGATCATGAAGATCAGGAGAGGCATTTTGCAAATATATCCCACCAAGAGCTGTAAGAAAATCGGACATGGGAATCATAGACCCGAGTACTCATTAAGGGCTGAAATCCACCATTACTCGTGAAGAACAAGAAAAATCTGAGATGGAATTGATAACTGTAGACGCGAAGGTTGAAGTATACTTATCTTGTCTAGACCTGAAATCTTTTAGTGTGCATTTTGCATATATGTCCCAACAAGAGCTGTGAGGAAAATGGGACATGGGAATTACAGAGATGAGTACTCATCAAGAGTTGAACTCTACCATTACTTGTGAAGGACAAGGAAAATATGTCATGGAATTGGAAACTGGATGAAGATTGATTGGACCTGATATTTCAAGTGATGATGAAATCCCATTTGTAGCATCGCATTACAAAATTGGTGATGGTTCTTGTGTGAAATTATTTTTGAATCCTTGGTGTAATGGACAGACTTTGATTAAGCTGTTTTCTCACAGGATCTATAGAGTTTTAAATCTTCCAAAAGATGCTGATATTAGTGCTATCATCAGGAATGGTATGTGGCAGATTCCAATTCCATTCTCTTCTATTCTACAACAGTTTTCCAACTACATTCTTTATGTTCCTATTTATTCTGGCCAGGATAAATTGGAGTGGGATGAGGGTGTGTTTTCATTCTAGAGGGTTTGGAATAGTGGAGATCTCACAAGCCTAAAGTGGACTGGTTCAGCCTGTGTTGGAGTGGAGGCAGGCCTAGGGTTTCAGTTTTTTGTCGCCTGTGTTTCCATGATAAGCATTTATCCTTCCGTAATCTGAGGAAAAGAGGCATTACTATTGTTTATATCTGTCATCTGTGCTTTGCTGCTGAAGATTCTACTGATCATATTTTCCTTCAATGTCCTTTCTCTACACAAGTTTGGGATTGGTTTAATCAGCTGTTGCCTTGGAATGTGCCTGTAGTTCAGACTAAGCACCAGTTGGTTGTTTGGCTATGACAAATAAAAATTCAGAATCTGCTCCACAGGTTTTATAGAAGACTTATTACCACTGCTTTGTGGAAAATATGGATGGAAAGGAATTCTAGGTTACATGACCAAGGGATAAGACATGCAGAGGAAGTTGCTATAGCTGGATTGGTGGGAGGTTTTGGAGCTGATGGGATTCTCTTCGACTGCTCTGCCTTTTGGTTCTCTTCACCGGAAGTGGAGATTTTCTATTTTTGTTGCTTTGTCCTTCTAGTGAGGGGGGTATGCCCCCTCTGTTTGATCATGTACTCCATGTTTTATCCATGATATGCATAATCTCGGGTAGGGAAATTAAGATGTTGGGTCGTGCTGTCTACCCGTCCATATATACCTATTCTCTTTCCCATCCGAATCTAGTGTGAGATGAGCAGAGATGAGCCCCTCGAACACTAGTCCGGAAAATTGTTTTATGATTACCATGTCTTTTTATTATTATTACTACTTATTGAAGTAGAAGAGAGAACATGTTAATGAACAAGACTGTTTGCCTACTTGGTACCTCCTTTATATTTTAGTCGAATCTTTTCCTCTTATTTATTCTATATTAAGTTATTAACTCTTCGATTATGTTATTTTAGATTTTCTTTCTTCTTTTTTCTTTTTACCACAATTATAAATGATTTCATGTTAACCAATTCTTAGTCATGTTGTCTGGCTAAGGCCCTTCTGAATACACAGGCCCAGACACTTGTGAAGCCCATGGGCTGAAGATAAGCTATTATGAGAGCAGACAATCTGTTTATTGGGCTCTGAATGATGGCCTTTTTGTGACAGCTTCTGAGCAAATAATGGCCCAAACATCAAATGGGTGAAAGGAAATAGGAAGTGAATCAAAGTTTTGGCACTAGGTGGGCTCCTCCTATTACCCAATCAAGTTGTAAGAGCTTAGTTCTTTTTTAATTTGTATTGAATTTAATATCTATCTCTTTTCAATTAATAAAATTTAATTGTTAATTCCAGAAATGAAAAAGTGAAATTTATCTATTTTCAATTAATAAAATTTAATTTTAAATACCAGAAATGAAAAAGGAAAATTTAATTTTCCATAATGGAGAGGTAATGTTTTTTTTTCAATTGGATGTTAAATGAAAATATGGAAATAAGCTAATTAGACCAACAATACTTTAGTTACGAGTTGGGTAAGCTTAAATTATTATGTAGTGTTGTTTATCACGCAAAACGCTCTCTAACCCAATCTTATGTGAGACAAGAGCTGTTATTATATTTTTTCCTTACACAAACATGTGGCGCTTATCCATTCACTCTACCAATGGGTGACCTGAACTCCTCACGTGGGCGTTTGATGTGACACCAAATAAGAATTGGACTTGCTCTAATACAATTCGTAACAAATCGAACACTAGAGTCATTTCTAATTCAAAAACTTAAATTATTAGATAGAACTACCTATCCGCCGCCGAGACCAAAATTCTTCCGTTCGTACCCAATGTGTGACAAGATATTATCATGACACCAAGTGCCTTAATAGAACAAAAATTTTGGAAACATTTTAAGCCCCGCGATATTCTTAATTTTAAAATTCTTGAAGCATATACTAAGACCTATAAAGGTGCATAGGAAGTACCATGCAAGTGAAAAGTTGAACGAACCTCAAAACTCATTGTAGGAAGATAAACATGACCATCAATGCCAGTTTGGACATGTTATAGTGTAGATACTTTAGAGTTCCAACAACTCAAAAATGTTAAAAAGTTAGCTAGAAATATATTTACTCAATTTCAAGACAGGTACGAAACTTTGTTCATGCATTTTTCTCTTATAAAAAATAGCTAGTTAACTTTTAATTAATGTTTTTAGCTTCCTCTTGGCAAGAAACTCTCGCACTACTCGTTTGAGGGGAACTTAATCTTTCATCTTTCACTTTGGGATATTAAGGATATACTACTAGATTGTAACTCTTGGATAATTTCTGTTTGATATAATTCTCTCTTTCTCTTTCGCTTTGTTTTGCGGTATGGAATTGGAATCTTGAAATTAGAAAAAATTTTGGCTTAATTTTCTGAATTGTTTTTTTTCCAATTCTATCAATTTTAATTTCAAAGCTCTAATTCCACGCTTGCCAAACATAGCATTTAAGTTATTTTTTGCATGCTTAATTTTCATTAAATATTTAATATATATTTTTTCATTGACAAAAAATATATTCATACACTCACACATAATCACTTTTTCACATTTACGAGAACTTGAACTACTCCTAAACTACAAAGTCGTTAGATCAATTTAATGATAGAATGTGTGATCGAAAATTATCTCCGCGCACACACATCATCAATCTTTCAAAGAGAAAGAAAAAAATTATTCGTCCTTATTTTTATTTTTTTAACATAAACATTTTGCAAATACCATCAACATGACCTAAAAAGTGAATTTGTTAGTGAATAATTCCACACATTATTGGTGCCCTAGACATTAGAGATTTGAAAAGCAACCACTAAACACCGAAAATTAATTTGTAGTAGTACCACTTTGATGGGATGAGTGTGAATTTCTCTGCTAATAAAAAGTAGTATTAGCTTTATTCCATCGTCCATACCATATGGTCTCTTTTTTGGTTTTGAGGCAAAAGGAATCAATGAATCAGCAGCTTTTCCCCTCTAAGTGTGGGCACCATTATGGTGTAATTAGTGTGGGTCTCTTGTTGTTAGTGCGACGCTCTTAGCCCCAAAAATCCACCTCGGTATCTTCACATGCCAAGTCGGGTCACTCACCCGACCCACCACATTGTTATTGGGTTTTGGTATATGAGACAATGAGCTTGATTTGCATCGATTGCATCATCATTATTATTTTTTTAATTTATTTATTTATTATTTTTTTAACAAGTGATAAAATAAAATTCCAAATCAAGATTCTTTCGTAAATAAAAAACTTCTATATTGTAAAGAAGTTATTACATTACTTCAATATTCGTATTTGACCCGTTAATCGGGTTAAGAAATAACAAGTTTAACTTTACTATTTAATGTTAAATTAAAAATTAAAAATTATTTTTTAAAATTACAAAAATACTCATTAATCTTATTCTTCACCCTTTTTCTCCCTCTAAAACTCTCACCCATCTCTCCCTCTCAAACATAATTGTTGTAATTTTAAAGGGTATTTTTGTAATTTTTAGTTTTAATTTAACATTAAATAGTAAGATTAAATTTGTAATTTTATAGCCCGGTTAATGGGTCTAATACGAATCTTGGGACAATGTGATTACTTTTTGAAAGTGTAGGGATTTTCTAGAACATATTCGGATTTTATGATCAAAATTTAAAATTAGTGGGGGTTTTATAATTTTAACCCTAAAATTAATGTGGTTCGAGGTTAATATACATTGGCTTATTCAATTATGTGTTTATACATGTATTAAAACAGAAATTAAGTATTGGAGTACAGCTAAAAATAATAGTATGAGTATTCACGTTTATTTGAAATTTCAAAAATATGAACTTAAGAATCACCCTTGAACATAAAAAGACTTGCTTGAAGCCATAATGTATTGATAATACACATGACTTGTTGATTTATGGAATTGTTTCTAAATTCTAATTAATAGATTGGAAATTAAGTTACATAAAGAAGGAACAGAAGTGAGAACGAATTCGAGAACGGGAATGTGAAAGCGACAAAATTTAGTAACAAATAGTGACAACAGAAAAGAAAGCGCACACGAAGTATAAGAGTAGAAGTACATTCAGAAAGTAAAAGTGGCGCTCATTAAAAAATTGTGTGATTTAGATTGGAACCGTAATATGGTGTTCAAATTTCAAAACTATCAAAAGCTTCTTGTAAATTGAATTCAATTTGTAGTTCGTTTTATTTAATCCTTATGTATCAAAGATTCCTAAAGCTTCTTACTAAAAGAAAGTTTCCTACAGTTCTCAAAATATTTATTTAATGGTGCTTTTTAATAAATGTTGTTTTAATGTGGGTCAGTATGTTTGGAGTTATATCAGAATTCGGAGCCCAAAAAATAATGTAGGCTTGTTGGGCTGGGTTAGTGCATATGGGCCCATTTTGTGACTCTAATTCCAACGAATGCAACCTTTTTTTTTTGTTTTTTTTGTTTTTAAAAGAATTAAACTACAAACCTGACAGAGAAGACGTCATTTTTACTTTTTTTTTTTCGAAAACTTCAGAGGTCATCGTATTTCAGTCTATATTTAATAGAGAAAGTTGGTCATTTCTTTTATGAATTATATTATAAAATCATTCATCATAGTATCACACTAGATTAAAAACTAACAATTTCCTATGCATTCATTTGCATCAGTTTGGGAAACTCATGGCTGCTCGAAGAGCTGAACGCTGATTAAGTCATTGAATAATGATTCACAAAGTTAGATCATAATAATATGAAGTTTATGTCTTTTTTAATCCATTCTCGTTCAAATTATCCACGTAACATTTGTCATTAAGCGCTACATAAGCATAGTCCTCTTGGTATCTTTGTCATTCCTTAATAATAAGGGAACTAATATTCTGAATTGTAATTCTGTGTCATTTTATCTTATATTGTGTTTTGTGTGATTGTATGGTTTAGGCAACAATTATATTACAGTGTTTATGCAATAACATTTGCATCGTTATATCATTTATGCAATACCTGTAATCTATATCATAGTACTTACTCCCTCTACCCCATATTACTGATCATTACCTATCACCTTTTAATGTTGAGTTATTTGAGATCATTTTTAATTATATTCCTTTTATAAAGTACCATATTTGATGTCTAATTCGAAAACTTTGAATGTAAGTCAAAGTTTCTGAAATAAATATCTAATATGAGACGGAGATAATGCTACTTTTTAAATATATATTGTATTTTGATGTAGTGTATTGCACTAATAGTTCACTTGCCGTATAAAATCCCTCCTCAACAGGAGGATACCATGATTAGCAACTTCAAAGTTTTAAACACCTTAGTATCTCCGATGCATTAAACGGTCCGAAATTGTCATTGTCAAGATTTTAGAGAAAGATTTATCAAAAGAAAGCAAGATTTTTAAAGAGAGAATTAAAATATATATAGATCAGAATCAGCAGATCTATACATGCATTATATATATACAATGAGTGAGCCCCACAACATGCCCTTTTTAACTCCACCCTCCCACCCTCCCCTTTAAGATGCCCACCATTTTTATTTAGCTAGAAATCATATTCTGAGAGATCTGTTCCAATGGCTAAAACCAGAAACCCTAGAAAACCCACCAAGGAAAATCACCAAAATCAGAACCACCATCCTCAAAAGCCAGAGAAACCACCTTCTTGGGCAGCTGTGAGAAGCCTATTCACCTGCAAATACACCCAAACCCAACTACAAGAACAAAAACACGAACCACCACCACCACCACCACCAAAACAGAGGAAAGAAGAGCAACCAATTGAAGGAAGCAACAAGAAGTGCAAGAAAATGAAGTGTTCAGGCTCACTGTGCAGCAACACAAAGGTGATGCACAGGCCTGAACCAACACAATCCAACGAGGACCACCCAAAGAAGAGGGCTTCAATGGGTTCATCAACATCATCAAGTAACAACATCATGATCAATGATGGGTCTAGCAGATCCATGAAAGCTCCTCTCACTGAACTGGTCAACAATGGGGCTGCTGTTGTTTCTTCTAATTCATCTTCTCATTCACTCTCTGTGTTTTGTACTTCTCCTTCAATTGCTGGGTCTTTTAGAGGCATGCCTTTTAGGAGACTCTCTGGGTGTTATGAGTGTAGGATGGTGGTTGATCCTGTTCTTGGAATCTCTAGAGACCCTTCTTTGAGAGCCATTTCTTGTCCTCAGTGTGGTGAGATCTTCATGAAACCTGAAAATTTGGAGCTCCATCAAGCCATCAGACATGCAGGTAAATTCCCATTTCCTTCAACTCTCTCTCTCTCTCACACACAAACACACACACACACCAAATAGCCCCATTTACCCAAGTCCCAATCTGACTGTCTATTTAATTTCAATAACCAATTGCACATTTCTCAGTCTGACCATCTCTCTGTTCTCTCAATAACCACTTACCCATTACTCTTTGTCAATAACTCTCTCTCTCTCTCTCTCACACACACACACCCCATTTCTCAGTCTGACCATTTCTCTTATCTCAATGACCATTACCCAATTATTAATTTGGCTCTATCTTATTTCAATACCCAACACCCATTTCTCAATAACTCTCCCCCTCTCTCTCTCACACACACATACACACAGTGGTCCTGTTTCTACTCTTAACTCCCCATTTCCCTTTTCTTAATTTTATGATCAAAATTTGCAGTATCTGAATTGGGTCCTGAAGACACAAGCAAGAACATAGTGGAGATCATATTCCAATCAAGCTGGCTCAAGAAACAATCCCCTGTTTGCAAGATCGACCGCATACTCAAAGTCCACAACACCACCAAAACCATCTCCAAGTTCGAAGAATACAGAGACGCCATTAAAGCCAAGGCCACCAATCTCCCGAAGAAACACCCGCGTTGCATTGCAGACGGCAATGAGCTCCTCAGGTTCCACTGCACCACCTTCATGTGCTCACTTGGCCTCAACGGCTCCTCCAATCTCTGCAATTCGATCCCCAATTGCAGTGTTTGTAGTATCATCAAAAATGGGTTCAAGGTTGCCGGAGGAGTCACCGGAGGGGTCGCCGGAAAAGGGATACTGACGACGGCGACGAGCGGGAAGGCTCACGACAGTGCCGGGGTGGCGTCGGAGGAAGAGAAGCGTGCGATGTTGGTTTGCCGGGTGGTCGCCGGACGGGTGAAGAAGAGCTTGGAGGGAGGTGTGGAGGAGTATGACTCGGTGGCCGGAGCCGCCGGAGTTTATTCTAATTTAGATGAGTTGTATGTGCTCAATCCCAGGGCTATATTGCCCTGTTTTGTTGTTGTCTACAGAGATTTTTAGTTGGATTTAGTCGTTTGATTATCATTATACGATAATTAATTACAATTTTCAATCTAAGTATGATTATTGGCCCTATTTACTCTATCATGATACGAAAGTTACGAGTTCAAAATTCGAAACAATGATGGGTAAAATACAATGTTAAAAGTTATGTTAACAAACATGAGCATATAAATTTGAGTTCTAAATAATGTCATAAAAACAAATCGATTTGTTTAGCTAGTTTGTTGATGGATTGATTTAATTTTATTATGGGTTTCCAAGCTACATTAACGATAGGACAAAATAAAGGAGGGATTTATACCCAAAAAAAAAAAAAAAAAAAAAAAAAAAATTACTTAAAGTGGTTTATTAATTGAGGATGTTAAGAGAGATAAATAATCTACTTTGATTCTCAAACTTAAATTCATGCTTTCATATTTCTGATTAGGTTTTGTATAACTTGAGCTTAATATTTTGTTAATCTTTGTGCTGAAGTATGGCACTGGGATTTTTTTGGCTTTGCTCTAATTAATTCAGTGAAATTGTGCAGAGACATTTTCAAATTATATGTAATTTTTAAAAAATTAATTGTATTTTAAAAAAATCCATCATAAGATTTGATATTCATGTTATATTGTAATTGATAGCGATGCAATAATTTATCCCAGATTTATTTATTATTATTATTTTTTTTTATCCAAGATCACGTGAGGCGTGTACTTTATTTTATTTTGGGTTGGTGTATAAATGACCATAGGTCAACGACTACCATTCACTGAGTCATTAATTAAGTGGGCACGACACGAGTTGGTATAGTTAATGTGCATTTGGCAATTTTTTTTTTTTTTTTTTACTTTCTTCTCTCTGTAAGTCTAAAATCTTGACTTGATTAGAGTTTCAAAATTAAGACTCAGCGTCACCAAAACAAAAATTGACCAATTGGTTAAATCAATTTGTAATTGTTGATCGGTCAATAGAAGTAAGTGGTAAATTTTTTTTGCAGCATAAAAGATTAGAGTTTTTTAATTAGTGTAATAATTAAAACATGGGTAATAATTAAAACATGGGTCAACAAGTGTAATAATATAATTTTACTTCGAGTGCACAAATTCTAATCTTAGGTTAAGCAAATATTGGTGGTGTTACAATCATGAACAATCATTCTCAACAGGTGTCGCTCTTACGTTTCGAGCGCATTCTCGCTTTCATTCTTCGCGCGCGTTTTCGCTTAAATTCTGATTATTAATGATTTAATTTTGTTGCTCTCACACTCCCGCTTTTAAATTTATTCTCACTTTATATGACTTAGATCATGAGTTTAAAAGGTGCCTAATTATTATTATAATTTTTTCTGGACCTGGGCTTAAAGTGAAAAATATTTGATTTTATTCACAGTTAAATATTGCTTTTGTTATCAAACTACCTAACTCTATAATACAAGTGCTCACATAAAGAAATCTTCCGAAAAAAAAAAAAAAAGTGCTCACATAAAGAACTTATGTCATAAATTATTAAATTAAAAGACAATAGTATTTATGGATTCAACGATTGCACGTGCAAGCTCGTGATAGCTTTCCATATCTATATAAATACTTTCGTTGTTGACTAGATAGAATCTAGTGTTACAATGTATGGAAGTTCAAATTACACCTTATCCTACTTTTATTTTATATTTTTATTATAATATAATTTACTGATTTCAATCTCATGCATTACTATAAGCTCTCATTCTCATGCTTCGCCCTTTCGTTCATGTTTTTATTTTATGTGACTTACATTTTATTTTTAATATTGCCCTTGTTATTAGAATACTAGTTCTTTACTTCTAAATTTTTAATTAGTCTAACCTATTTTTATCACCTTTGTAAGAACAAATTATTTCAAAAACTAATAGTAAATATTTATAAATTTGAGATTATACATGTTTTTATAAGAAAGTGCAAGAGGATAATTTTATTTGAAATTTCTTTAAATAGAAAAAGAATGTAGTAGGCATTTCAATAAGCAAAGGTGACACTAAAAATAAGTTAATTAATTTACTAACTTAATTAAAAATATTTATTAAAAATAAGAATTTTACATCCTAATGAAATTTAAATTTCATAGAATTAGAGTAGAAGGTAAAATTAATATGTAATTATTTATTTATTTAATTTTATTCATTCAAAAAAAATGTATTAATATAATTTGTTGTGTTGTGTGGTAAAAAAACCAAGCACAAGCTTCCATTCTTTTAGTATGGCGTGCGCTAGTAGTATATGTTCTCTGGCATTGTTTTGTAGCCTGTTTTTACTGTCGACCATGATTTCTCTTGATCTGTGTCACGTTAATTTCAATCCTAGTTTCACTATTTTTCTTGACTCTTCTTTTGTACTACTCAGTTCGATATTATGATCAATTCTTTGATTAAAACAAGCTAGCATGGGTTTAACTTATATATGTGTGTGTGTGGACTTTTCACAAATTTCAATTATAGTTTCACCATATTTCTTGACTCTTCTTTTGTAATACTCATTGGCTTAAATCAAGTTAAAACAACCTAGAAGAATGAGACAGTGTTGGTTAAGGACCTAGTTCTAACATTCCCCAGGCTAGATAGAGTTCTCTTCTTAATCTCATCAATGGTAAATATCATAGTCCTTCTGTCTCATAAAAAGTGTTATTTTTGAAGAACCGTGACTCTCATAAATTAAACTGTCACGATTTTTTAAAAATTACACTTTTTTTGAGACGGAGGTAATATGCTTTTATGGGAAATGATACCCCACTATTTGGTTTTTCACTTTCTTTTTTGTAAATTATTTTTTATTAAATTTAAAAAAAAGAAAGAGAACATGTCGTCTTGAAAGTTTGGAGTTTGAATTTCTTTATAATTGAGTTATATCTAGAAATTGTTTTTGATAATTGTTCGATACATGCAATCAGATGAAAGAACTACAATGTTTAGTGTTGAATCGTGGAGTGTTTTATATAAGAAGCCTGACACCTATATCATTGACAAAGAGAAAAAAAAAATGGTTTGGAAAAGAGAGTTTAATTGTTTTGCTGACAGAAATTTAAGTGTTTGGACTTTAGAAGTTGAGAGTACTTAAGGGGTACTATATAATCTCTATTTCTGTGATTTTAATAAAGAATTACAATTCTCTCATTAACGTTGAAATGCATTGAGAATGAGGATTACATATTTATATATATAATTGATGGAAAATGTGGTGCGCAAACGACTTGTGTCAATCGAAGTGGGATGAATGATCATTGAACAAAATTTTTATTTATTTATTTTACCGAAAAATATAATTGCATTTTTTTGCTAGTTAATTTGAATTAAAGAGAAGCAATTTTATTATTATTATTATTATTATTTAAGAGACGCAAAGTTGACCAATATATATAGCATTACCCTATAATTATACATTTTTTTTTCCCTCGGTAAGTACTCTAGAATTATACAATCTTAATAAGTGTATTGTATATACATATTGTACACACAAATTTCGTAATCTGCAAATAAAGAACAAAATATGGACCAAATGAAATTTTATTAATTTATAAAAATTTGAGTACAATCCTTTGAGATATTCTTTACAAAAGAAATAAAATATCCTCTGATTCGATCTTCTTTGTTGGTTGGATTCAAGGGCGGTTATTCAATTTTTATTTTTATTTTTTATTAACTATTTTTTTTTCGGTAAGTACTCTAGAATTATACAATCTTAATAAGTGTATTATATATACATACTGCACACACAAATTTCGTAATCTGCAAATAAAGAACAAAATATGGAGCAAATGGAATTTTATTAATTTATAAAAATTTGAGTACAATCCTCTGAGATATTCTTTACAAAAGAAATAAAATATCCTCTGATTCGATCTCCTTTGTTGGTTGGATTCAACGGCTGTTAGAGCTTGATCTTGAATCGGGTTGTTGACAATCTTCTTCAAGTATTTGTAATTGAAGAAAATCGCCGATGATTTCTGATCGAGGGCTGACGAAGCTTGATCTCGAACAGTGTTGTTTGATGATTCTTTGAACTTGTTGAATCGCATGGAAAAAAGAGCATGATTTTGATGTGCTTGTTGTTTTTTGTTGAATTTGAGGAAGAACGGCACGACTTTGGATTGGATGTGCTTGTTGTTCTTTGTCTTTAAAGAATTTGTTGAAGAACGGCACGACTTTGGTTGTGCTTGTTGTTGATCGTGGTGGAATGTTGATGAAAAACAGCACGATTTGATGTGCTAATTGCTTTTCGCCTTTAGGTTTAGATGTTAGAGATGAATGTTGGCAGAGCTTCTATATTTTTCTCTGAAATTCTAGATTTCTAGAATTTTCAATTTCTCTTCTTCTGGATTTCTGAGTCTTTCAATTTCTGGACCCCCTTCCTGTGATACCCCTCGATTCTAGAGTCACGGGTGATCAAGTCCGAGTACAGATCCGAGGGATACTAGACAATTAATATATAAATGAACACAGAATACAAAAGAATTTAATGAATAAATAATAGAGAAAAGTGCAATAAACCCCCCTGAAGTATTGCAAAACTTGCAACTAACCCCCTAAACTATCAAAATTGCATAAAACCTCCTAAACTATACAAATATGTTGCAAATCACTCCACCCGGCCACCGGCCGTCCAAGAATGAGCGCGTGATTCTCACGCGATAGACAAGTTGAAAAGTTTGGACAATAATGCCCTTCCACCATCTGCGACATCCCCTCCTCCACCTCAACAGCGGCGCTTTAACACCACCGCCACCCATCTCTGCAAACCCATAACCACCGCCACCCATCTTTGCAAACCCATAACCACTTCTTTCGCAGTGGATTCGCCACTAAATACAGCGGCAAAGTCGTCGTCGAATCCGACAACGGCCGCTCATTTGCCGTCAAAGTCGACTCTCCCAACTTCTAAACCGATGTCCGAGGATACCCTCTCCCTCGCCGCGACCTTATCTGCAAGGTCGTTAGGATCCTCCAATCCTCATCATCAGACCCTTTCCTCGACCTCTCCGACTACCTCCAAACACTAACCCTAACGCGAACCTCCTCCGAATCCTCAGAAATGGTCCGATCTGTAAATCTAAGACCCGGA